TACAGCACTAATACTAGTATGCTCAGTAAACAGTATGTAACCGTACAGAGAGGATCCAATCTCTCCACATTGCCTGCATTTTAAGCGCCGAACAAAATATCTCAAACTCTAGTCTGAGTCTGCAGGCTAATGGTTTTCGTGCCAGCACGTCTAAGAATTCTTCAGCGAGTCTTTACTAAGTCTGACTGCTGCTAAGCACGTCATTTCATCAACCTTAAATGGCTTCTCCAGAGCTTTCTTGCTCGCTCCCCTTGCAGTAATAATTCCTCACAGTACAGGGGCCGAGACAGCCCCACCTACTACAATACTTTGCCCAAACACAGAAAGGACTTTTCCCTCTATACCAAAATCATACCGACATAGTTGGCTGTTAACACAAAGTAGCAAGCGTGTGAGGGTCTCCAGGGATTCACAATGTGGGAAAGAAAGCCAAGCTCAGGCCAGACATCACCATGATGGACACGCAACAGTCAAGTAGAGTGGTCTCTCTCCTGTTCTATCAGGGTTTCCAGCCCAGATTCTCCTCCGCAAGACCCTGCAAACACACGCACATGCACACACGCGCACAGGTATGGCAGCTAAGGCGTGTGCGGAGGAGGAATCGCGCTCCGTACAGCAGCTTGGGACATCCGGGGCTCTGGTCCTGAGCAGCTAAAGCCAAGTTCCTAGAGGTGAGGTCCAGACACTGGCATGTCACTTATGGCACAATCAGCTGTCATGCCCTTTGAGTCACCTTTGGGTAAAACCATGCCGTGAGAACAAAAGCTCTGGGAGCTATTTCTTCAAGTGCTTCTCCAATCGTTCATGGTCCCTCAGCAATCCAGACTGGTTAAAATGCAGACATTGTGCGTCCCGTCTTTGGGCTGACAGACTCCGCATATGGGGAGGCTAAAGAGAAGTCTGTAACTATAACCGCAATCAAATGCAGGTCTCCTAGATTCCAAAGCCTTCCAGATTTCCCCAATAGTTTAACCAGAAGTGTACTATCAGAAAGAACCTAACTAGAGCTTCAGAGGATTTTACATGAACCTGAAACTGAAATGGACAGCAAAAACCTCACCCCTAAGGGAACCTCCTGTAACCCCCACCTTCTCACCTCCCTAAAGAAACCCTCTACAATGCCTGATCTCCGTCCCCATCTCCTCCTCCCCTAAAGGAACCCCATGCCCCCGCTTCCTTTCCTCCTTTGAAAGGGATCCTCCACAATTACTTTGGATTAGAAAAATAACATTCTTCCCTCTTCATCCTGCACCGTTTTGTTTTTGCTCTGACAGACTCCTCCCCGCCCTCAGAAAAGATCACTTGAGCGTGCCTGGCAGTACTGTAGAAAACGCCTGCGTCTAGAGTCCGATGATGAGAGGGACGGAAGAGTTTACCCTGAGCTCCCTTGTATGTTTCCCCCACGTTGTCGTCGTTCCACACCTCTCACTCAGACGGCAACGGGGCGCATATTGTCTAAGCCAGAAAGTGAGTAAATGGCTCTGCCCCTTGGATTGGCCAGGAACCAATCCTTTTCTCTAAGTCTGGGGCAGTTCTGAGTCATTGCCACATAGTTCTACTTTGGGAAGGGTGGTGTGTGGGGTGTGAAAAAAGAAAGCCGAGTGCAAGCCTAGATCTTAGTTTATATTATAATTGAACACGGTGGTGGTGGTAGAAGCCACAGGGACGGAGGGCCAGGGCTAAGGGGACATACGGGAAGGTCTCCTGTCTTCCCCTCACTGGCACTGATCTACACACTCTAAACAGGCAACAGGAAAGCCAAGGCTTAGGGGCAATGAGCCCTATTTTCGCTCATAAAATGTATTGCATGGGGTTCTTTCTGTGCTGTTAATGTGAACGCCAAACAGCACAACCCTTTCAGAAAGGAATTTGGCACTGGCAGCCTTGAAAGATATCCATAATGTTCATACTCTCGAATTCCATGTTTAGGAAAGCATTCTGAAACAGAAGCGGCACACTGCAGTACTGGATGTGACACAAGGACACTGCAAACAATGCGAACACTGAGAAACAGGGTATGAGTGCCTCTCATCTACTGAACTTCGCTGAATGCTTGACAGACTACTGAATAATGCAAATTATTTTCATGAAGGAACCACAGCTTACAGAAGCTAGTGCCCGTGCCCTCTACTGTACTCAAAGTATGGGTTCAAACCAGATTCCATCCAGGCCTACATGAAGTCCACATGGTTTTCAGTTCCCATTGGTTCTCATCAACATAGGGGTGCACTGTGACATAATCATTGCACTGCTTCAGTGGGTTACAAGTTTAGTAAGGCTGGAAACATCCCCCAACCCCAAAGCACAGAACCATCCAGTCCCCAAGCAGGAGATGGCCTCACAATCCAAGGCTGAAGACAGCGGTTGGGAGGGCTATACCCGTTGGTCCTGGAGTGGAGAAAGCTGTAGAGAGGACTGACCCTACATCTGTGAGTAGCATCTCAGTTCCCGCAGAATTTAATAAACAAGGGACAACAAAAAAGTGGAGTCAGAAACACTACCATTTACAAGTTAATATTTAACATGTTCTAGCCTTTCAAAGGCTTCTAGTGTTCTATGAGGCAGAGGCCAAAGTTCTGTGACCAAGATCTGATCATACGAGCTCAGATAAGATCCAGCTACTTAACAGACAATTCACAGAGAATGGGCAGCTCTTTTCCAGGGTCAGCCAGGTCCCTTAATAGGTCTCTGACATTTCCCACTATCACACTGAACTAATGATTTATCTACTGGCTCACTAGAACTGCCTCCAAGGTCCAGCCTGAGTGAGAGGAAGGACAGAAAGAGGAGGCCCAGAATGACACAGGCTCGGTCATCAGTGGGCACCAGACTTAAAGAATGACTACAGGCTCACCACTGACAAAGCAGAAGGAGACAGCATCTAAGAGGGAGCCAACGGAATGCACCAGTAAAAGGTGGGGAGAAAAGACAGTGGGTCAGGTCAGGCCTCCAAAGAGCACCCCACAACCCCCTCCATCCCCAAGTTGGGTCCATTTACCTGAAGCTTTCTCCTGAAGTGAGACAGCAATTTGAACTGCAGACAAAGTTAAGCAACCCTCAGCTGCCACTCAACTCAACTCAGCACTGCTCTTAGCTGCCGGGGAATGTCAGAATCATTTTCAAAAGGGGTTTGGAGACAGGACAATGAAACCAAAAATTCAAGTTGTTTATAGCTCTATCAACCAAAGGTTTGTTAAGCTCAGGTCTGTAACAGGAGGATTAGGGTCTTTCTGGCTCTTAGCATTTAGCCAACCTGAACTTCAGTCCTGTTGTGCTATGATGCATCAAAACATCCATTTCTAAAGTGGTTAAAGTGAGCAGCCTTCGGAGATCCCGTGGATCTGTGTCTTGCTTCAACAGTGTTTGGACAGAACAGACCCGGGTCCTCCCTTTGTTAGCTTCCACCGCTCCTCATCTGCAGCCGCAGCCTCTGCTCCCAGGACCAACCAGCACCGCCTCTTTGAGGGTAGCTCCAGACTATGTCTCAACCATGACCTCCCAGATTCGTCAGAATTATTCCACCGAAGTGGAGGCTGCCGTGAACCACCTGGTCAACCTGCACCTGCAGGCCTCCTACACCTACCTCTCGCTGGGCTACTATTTTGACCAGGATGACGTGGCTCTGGAGGGTGTAGGCCACTTTTTCCGCGAATTGGCCGAGGAGAAGCGCGAGGGCGCCGAGCGTCTCCTCAAGTTGCAGAAGGATCGCGGAGGCTGTGCACTCTTTCAGGATGTGCAGAAGCCATCTCAAGATGAATGGGGTAAAACCCAGGAGGCCATGGAAGCTGCCCTGGCCTTGGAGAAGAACTTGAACCAGGCCCTCTTGGATCTTCAGTCCCTGGGCTCTGCCCGCACAGATCCTCATCTGTGACTTCCTTGAAAACCACTTCCTGGATAAGGAGGTGAAGGTCATCAAGAAGATGGGCCACCACCTGACCAACCTCCGCAGGTTGGCTGCTGGGCCCCAGGCATCTCTGGGCGAGTACCTCTTTGAGCGGCTCACTCTCAAGCATGACTAGGAGGCCTCTCCTTCCGAGGGGCTCCCACCTCTGCTCTGCACCAGCCCGCCTCAGGACCTTCACCCGAACCTCTCAAGAAGCCACTAAGCAGCTTTGTAACGCCCTGGAGCCCCTCTTGGACCAAGTAAAAATAAAGCCTTTTGAAACAGCAAAAAAAAAAAAAAAGTGGTTAAAGTGCTGAGCATGCAAAGGCTGCCGCCATACAGCCATAAGAAGTGATAGGAGTTACAGGACATCTCTAAAGAAACTCGTCTAGAAGCTAAAGACTGGCATCCTCAAATCATTTGGCACAGAGCTTGGGAACTGAAGTATCAGCGATGGCTTTCTCACTAATCTGTTTCTATCCTGGATTTCACTCAAGATATTGCTGTATGATCTCATTGCTAAAAGGTCTGAAATAAAATCCCATGCTCTTAGGGAATCCCTAGGATGAGAATAACCCTACCCCCAAAACTACTTCATCAACTAAAAGTCCAAAGGCACAAAAGACCAATTCAATAGTCTTTCTCCTTGAGGTATTATAATCAAGGGGCAGAAATTAACTGATTTTAGAACACAGAAGAACAGCAAAGTTGTTTTGTCCTTCCTTGCATCATCTGCAAAGGAAGGTTTGTGGAAAAAAAAAAAAATCCAGAGACACCTTCACTGGCATTAGTTATCAATCTACATATACCAAACCATATCCAAGCCCTAAGCAATCCCCTGGCTTCCCAATTAGTCAAAAAGTCCTTCTACCTTGAGATCCTTGGCTTTTCTTTCATGTTGCAACTCTCCTCAGTTTCATGTACTTAGAAAGCCTTAAGTATCTGAAAAATCACATGAACCTAGCATTGCTCCTGTAAAAAATTCTACTTAAAGGATATTTGATCTGGTTTCATATGAGTCTTGAGTCACATTCATGCATCCATAAAATATATTTCATAAGCCCATAGTATTCTTAAAAGAAAAAAATGTAACTTTAAAAGAAGACACAAAACTTCATTAAAATATAGTTGTCAAATTTATTTTCATTAGGTTGCCATTTTATGAAGAATTCCTAAGATTCGTGTTTCTTGACATGCAAGAGTTAGCAGTCATAGCTCAGTTACTATAAATACTGCTGCTTGAAAGCAGCACCACCATGTTAGAGGTTAGACTAGAGACTTTATTACCGAGACCCTATTCCGTCTACATGGAATCAGAAGGTTCTGAACAGCTGGTTGGGAAGATAGCCAAGGTGCAGGAAAGATGTCTGTGCTTCCTTTTCAAGGGCAGCCAACTCCTGAACAGTAGGTGCCAGGATATCCACATGGCCTTTATAGTTTCCACCTGTAACACACACACAAATCATAAAGCAACGTAAATGACACACTTGAAGACTTGTCAGGAAGATGTAGGCTCAAGTATCACTTCATACACTGTTTCCAGCATTAAGCTTCTGGGCGAGTTATCTGCAGCACATTTAGCTTTAACTTTTTAAGTCAAGAACTTCAATATAAATTAGTATTCAAGCTTCACTAATATAACAGTTGCCTCAATAGCCATACCCACCATTCCCTTGGTTTGCAAACCACTAGTTTACCCTGAATCAGAAACATTCTGGGCAAAGAGAACATTAAACAGGTTGCCAATTACATTAAAGACTTCTGATTCTTTGCTCAAAATCACCTATAATACCCATTTTCTAATATTTCATTAAAAGTTCAAGTACTCGATATGAATACTTCAAGACAATCAGCTAAATTGCTGTCCCTCATTCACATACAGATCACATAATAAAATGCTGCAAGCCAAGCAATAATAATAAAGCGCTGGAGAATAATTACTAGAAAATAATTAACATGCTAATAATATACTATTAGCATAAAGTAACAAAATCATTGTCTTCATAAACTGACATTCAAAGAGGCAAATTTAACTAGGTGTGTTAGTACAGGCCTATCATCTCAGCATTCAGAAGGCTGAGGCAGGAGGATCTTGAGTTTCAGGCCAGTCTGGGCTACAAAACAGCGGTGCAGAGTGGAAAGGCAGGCAGGTGGACAATACACTGACACGTCTGACAGCTTACCGCCAGCAGCCCTCTTTTGACCATAGGTAACTTTCCCATCAAACTCATCCACTGGAACCTTTATATCTGGCTCAACCTGGGAAATAGTGCAGTTCAGGTGTTCTTCTATCTCGGAAAGTAGCTAAGAAAGAATGAGAAAATGAAAATACTTTAAATAAGAATTTCACTTTAGTAGTTTCACTGTAGCTGTACTAACTAAAATTAGGCAGGCCCTGATGCTTGGACAAACGGAAGCTAGATCTCTGAATCACAACTCACAAACAGCATTATTAGCCAATACCGCTATCTCATCGCTGACAAATATATCAAAGTAGAGTTGTAATTTTTCTTTTCTTTTTATTTAATAATTTATTTAACTTTATTTTATGTGCACTGGTGTGAAGGTATCAGATCCCCTGGAACTGGAGTTACAGACAGCTGTGGGCTGTCATGTGGGTGCTAGGAACTGAACCTGGGTCATCAGGAAGAGCAGCCAGTGCACTACCACTGAGCCACTTATCCAGCCCCTAGATGTAATATTTATAGATGAATGCACTCTGTTTATCAAGGACTCACCTGCATTTCATTGTACCAGATGGTACAGCCACCATCTTCCTTGAGCCTCGTGTTATAGCACCCTTTCCCACGGTTGCTGCATACATGATACCAAACCTACAGTAAAGGAAGAAAAAAAATCAACACGCATAGAGACAGAGAGAAACTAAATAATTTGCTCTAAATTTTGGGGTTTTTAACTTTTTATTTCCTTAAAACACTAAAAAAAAAAAAAAAGGATTATGTGTTTCATGCAATGGCTCATTGACTAGATCTAAGTTATTCTGAAAATACAAAAGGGTGAGAGCTACAGAAAGAAATTTTCAGAGTGACCAAACAGTAAACTGACATCACAACCTGAGGTCCAAGGGGCGCGGGCGGCTAGGTGTGGCAGAGCATGCCTGCAAACCAGCACTCAGGCCTCGGCAGGGAGGACTGAGTCTGAGGCCTGCCTGAACCACAAAAAGGTGAGTAGGGGTAGGAAGGGGATAAATACTGGAGAAGGTTACATCAAAATTAATATTCTGAAGACTGTTATAGGCAAGAACAATAAAGTACATAAGGGACATGTGCACATGTATTTGAGAAAAAGATGTATGAGATCTTATAGAAGTTTTTCTACAAATCCCTCATTACATATATAAAGAGCCTGTGTCACCCCCAAAGTGTCCTATACTACAATGTTTAGAGAGTTTTTGTTGACAACTATATTAAGGCTATTAGGAATATTCATATAATGCCCTCTTACTATAAATCATACGCTATTGTTTATCTATTCAATCCATGCAGAGAAAAGAAATGACACAAAATGTTCACTTAACCCAGACCTACAAAGACAAATATGGTTATGCACTCACTCATAAGTGGGTATTAGATGTAAAGCAAAGGATAACCAGGCTACAATCCACAACCCCAGAGAAGCTAGGTAAAAGAGGACCCTAAAAGGGACACACACAGAGAGCCCCAGAAAAGGCAAATAGTAGTAGGAAGGGGATGGGAACATGAGGGTGAGATGGCCAAGTTGAGGGAGGGACAGAGAGGAGGAGCAATGAAAGAGATATCTTGATACAGGGAGACATTGCGGGATTAGGGAAGTTCTCAGGAATTCACAAGGATGACCCCAATGAAGACTCCTAGCAATAGTGGAAAGGGTACTTGATCTGGCCTTCCTCTATAATCAGTAACTAATGGAAGCAGTTGCAGGGATACACAGCCAAGCACTGAGCTGAGCTCCCGGAGTTCAACTGAAGAGGGAAAAAGGATAGTATGAGCCGGGGTATGTGTGTGTGTGTCAAGATCACCATTGGGAAAACCAGAGGACAGCTGACCCGAGCTAGTGAGCGCTCTGGACTAATAGCTGAGGATCCTGCATGGGAGACTCAACAAAGTCCTCTGAATGTGGGTGACAGTTATGTGACTTGATCTGGGGGCGGGGACCGGCAGTGGGACCAGAACTTACCCTGGGTGCATGAACTGGCTTTTTGGAATCCATTTCCTATAGTGGGATATCTTGCTCAGCCTTGACATGGGGGAGGGGCTTAGTCCTGCCTCAATTTGGCATACCAGACTTGCCAAGGGAGGGCTTACCTCCTCTGAGGAGTAGATGGGGGGTGGAATGGGGGTAAGTGGAGGAGGGTAGGAGAAGGGGAGGAAGGGGGAACTGGGGCTAGTATGTAAAATTAAAAATAAATTTTAAATAATAATAAAAAACCATTCACTCACTTCCATTTGTGACTGATTCCAGTTTCAGAGGGAAAACCAAACTGCTTTTACTTCCCAATCAAACCACAACTCACAATGACTCTAAGAGAGCACTGGGAAGATTACCTTTTCTTTCTCTGTTGCCACCAGGGAAATTGCCAGGCCCATTCTGAAAGATTTTAAAGCCTGTATTAGACCTTAGTTCTGGAACAGGGAGCTCAAAGGGGGAAGGGTCTGGGCCGTACCTTTCAGCTCGCCCCACTCTGCCAATCCGGTGCACGTAGTTCTGTTTTTCATCAGGCAGGGTGACATTTATAACTGCAAATAAAGACAATGAATGGTTAACAGCTGCCATGGTTTGTAAGGTTAGAGTTTAGGGCAGTAAGTCTCTTCTTACCATAAGGAACACCATGGATGTCAATGCCTCTAGCAGCTACATCTGTGCAAATCAAAAATCTTACGTCTCCTTTCTAAAAGAACCAAGAAAAAGAAGGAGTCTGTCAGTGAACAACACAAGACATAAAAACAATCTTTCCACTAACAGAGATAAATGCTACTTTCAGATTAGCTTTTTGGACATAATCTACTGGACCAAGTGTTGGCGTTTTCCTCTATTATCTGCAGAAACACAGTATAAATGTCTGGCTTCAGCCTTGTTTTCTTTACAGCAGTGTTATTAAACCTGGCTCTATCTTTAGAAATATGTTTGGAAACTCAAAACTATACAATAGAACAGAACATAGAAACTTAGGTGTTGTCCTTACTCATATTAAACTAAATCTAGGGGCTAGAGAGATGGCTCAGTGGTTAAGTGCACTGACTGATTTCTGGTGCTCCATTCCCAGTGCCTACACAGCACTAACAACAATCTGTAATGTTAACTCTAGAGGACCCAACACCCTCTTCTGACTTCTGTGAGCACTGCACACATGTGGTGCAGGAAAAATACCCATACACATTCAAAAGAAAACCTCAAAACCAAAACCAAATCCACACTACTAGATGCTTTATCCCAAAAGTCACAAAGTAACAGACAAATCCCAAAAGAGTAGCAGGGAATGAGCCCTTAGTGCTTACAAAAGACATACAAACTAGCTTTTGGATGCCTTTGTGCAGAGGAAACTTGAGATTTGGCGGTGAGGGGAGCACAGTGATTTTTGGTCTAGTATAATCCCTGAATGGCAGTGTACTTGTGTAATGAGACCAGGGAACACCAGCGATGCACAGTATGGAAGCATGAACCAATCTAAGCCCAGTATGACCCACATTTTCCCATACCACGGGTCTTAGGGAAAAAAAAAAAAACCTGCTCTGGTGAACTGGAATGTCAGCGGGAAGAAACTGCTGATGTTTATCTAAAAAGCTGAGGCCTACTAAACACACCAGGAGCTCTGAAAGCCATTAGCATGCAGAAGCACCTGGAAGTGCACCTCAAACAACAGTAAAACACTACTAAACTCTAATGACAATTCATTTAATAACAAAGTGAATTCTCTGTAAGTATCCATGTCCTCTCTAAAAAACTTCCACAGACATGGTTAAGTACCTATGTGAGGAAAGCAAGTATGTATTTATGTATGTCAAAGAGCAGTTTACCGAACACACCATCCAGGAGCAGTGGACCAGGTACTAACTACAGTGCTGTCTGCCTACCTGATGGGGAACATGACATTTTTTATCTGAGTGTCAAAGGACTAATTCCTGCTACAATGAAGATGTATGGGTAAGAGTTCAGTCTCTAGGATGAGAAGAGTTGTAATGTTAAGTGACACAAGGAACACTATAATCAGCCCCTTTAAATAATAAGGAAATGCAGGCAACCAGGCCCCGTACCTTAAATCTTTCCAAGTTCTGCTTTCTCTCATGAGGCTTTCTGTCACCGTGAAGACACACACATGAGAACTGGTGTCCTTTTTTATCAGGTCCTAATGAAAAGCATATTGAACAACTGACCTTGAAAAGCATTATGCAGAAGACTACAGACTAACAGCACCTGTCTATAAAGATCTATATACCCACGTTTGGCACAAATGAAAGCAACAGCTTTTCTGTCGTAAGCAAAACGCCATTAAAATAAATTCCATGAAAGGCTGGGGAGGCAGCTTAGTTGGTAAACATAAGCATGGGCAGTGTCGGCATCCTTAACCCCAGCACTGAGAGTGGGATGGACAGGTGGACTGGTGGAACTCGCTGGCTAGCAAGCCTAGCTGAATCCAGGGCGAGAGCAAGAAGATGGGAAGTAATCAAAAAAGACCCCTTTGGCCTCCACAGGCATGTGTACACCCTACAGGAACATACACACCTCCCGTCCCCTCACACACACAAAACACAAGTCAGCAAATGGTTTTTAATAATTTCCTTGAGTTTTTAGTATGTTCTTTGTAACGACATATGCCTAATGTTTGTCTAGATTAATACTCTATGTGACCTTAGCATAAGACTTCAGTCCACTGAATTACTGAATATGTAATATATATTAAATATATATGAATTAAATATATTCAAGATTTTTACAATACTGATCTTATTCTGTGATTTCTAATATGTATTTTCTTATCCAGGACTAGAGATGGAACTCAGAGCCTTACTCATAACCAGGCAAGTTCTATCATTGAGCTCTCTTATCTCCTGTTCTTTGGGTTTCTGAGATACCATCTCATTATGCAGCTCAGGCTGCCCTTAGTGACCTCATGATCCTCCAGCCTCTGCCTCCCAAGTGCTGGGATTACAGGTGTGTACCGCAAGGCCTGGCTTCTTTCTTCCTTTAGTCTTATTTAAGGCTTCCCCCTCATTCCTCTTTCTCCTCTTTACCAGTTTAGAAAATACACATTCTATATTAGTCATTATTCTTTAAATGTTAGTATTAATCCGTAACCTAGATCTATAACCTTAAAATTCTGTGATTCAGGTTTACTCTAATGAAGACCGCAGCAGTGCGGAAAAGTTCTCACTATTTACCCCAGGGTTCATCCATGAAAATGTAGACAGACACTGCTAAGTTACACTGTGCCATCACTGTTTCCAGCTCTGTGCATGCATTCTGGCTTTCATCAATGTGACCTCAACAGTCTATGAAATGAGGATATAAGTGAGAAAAAATTTACCTCCTCCTTGTTGCATAAAGTACTGCTCCAAGTTATCACAGTCAATTTTAGTTCTACAGAAGATAATTGCTTGATCCATCTTGTGTTCCTTGATTGCTCGGACAGCATACTCCCCCTTAAGTATTTTAATAGCTTCAGACCACATCTCTTGATTACCATAGCAACAGAACAAGCAACAGAATGTCAATATGAAGCTATCATGAGCACACATTATCAGTCAGACATACTTAACTCTTCTAAAAATCTCTGCTGTACAATAGATAAGGCAGAGTATGGGAGTGAAATACTGAGTTAATTCATTACTTCATTTACTTTTGTTTCTGTCAAGGTCAACGTTACCTACTTTTAGGTATCTCTCTCTCTCTCTCACACACACACACACACACACACACACACACACACACACACAAAACCACAACCCTTATAAACACAGATGTGCAAACAGACTAGCACAAAAGCCACACACACCAAACTTGTTACTTTCCTCTCAGGCATTGGTTATAATTGGTCTTGCATTAACTTCCCTTCCTGCTCAAGACATGACTATTGGATTATCTTAAGACTTAAGGAAATTAATAAATCTAACAAGCCTAACAGCACTCCACAAAATGAGAACCTGGCTAGAAGTTTCAGCCATCGGAAGTGGTGCTATCATGTTACCTCTCTGCTGATTCCCAGCCTGTTTCTAAATGCTCTCTGGTCGTCTCCAGCTGCAGGGCAATACAGTAAAATGGGTATTTGGGAAGTGCATTCTCTATCCATGAGTTAACAGTATGGGCTTAACTAGTACTTTCTCTACTTTTCTCTCACAGGGAGGAAAAGTGAGTATAAATAATGATAATCTGGAGTTACACATAAAACTGAATTCAAAGGAACTCCAATCAAGATTTCAGCCAATCCACCTTTCAGACGTATATCACAAGCCTCTCGGTGAACTCAACCAAGAAGCAAAACAGCTCTGACCTCTTCTAAGGATCCAGTCAAGACATCCGGTGTCAGACATGCAGTCTGATGAGTCTAAGTCCTTCCCTTAGGTCTTAGCATCTTATATCCTACCGCACCTTCACAAATTCTTGGAACATTATGAACACGAAACAATTCATCTCATAGGCTATCTTCACTGAGTTCAGACTAATGCTAATGCTTTTCAGAACTGATCACTGAGTAGAGTTTCTTGTTTGAGAATATGAAGTGTATGATTCAACAATACAAATGTGTTTAATGCCTTGAATCACATACCAAAAAGTCACAATGATCACAAAAATAATCAAGAAAGCCAGACTGTCTTTCATCATTATAGCTAAAGGCATTTCCCCCTACCATCCCTCTTCTTCATTTTTCTAGCATTTCAAAGTCAATATAAATCTGTCACGACAAATTTGTTGGTTTTCTATAATCTATAATCCAAGACTTATAATTTTGAAGTCATAAAACCAATGTCTAAGTTCACTGATTAACATTCCCCCCCAAGCTAAATGGATTTAGTGTGCCCCATTTTTCAATTATTCTTATTGCTTTTATTTTTCCCATTCTAACTTTGTAGGTCATATCTCACATCTTTTGGGAGACTAGTTGGAGCAGAAACTCAACAGAGCAAACAAGTTATTTCCCAGATCTCTAACACATCCTAGTAACTTTTCAGCTCACCTGGACTGTTAGCACCAGGTCTTGTGTTATCTTTTGCGTGTACATCATCAGTCTGTTGGAAGGGAGAGATAGAAAGGGATGTGGATATTAAAGAGTGATTAAGAGCAGGTGTCATTCTATTTATCTGTCTTTGGACTGAATTTCAAGCACGTCTTTATAATCTGTACACAAAACCATTTTCAGTTCAGAAAATTTCTTCATTAACTAAGGAAATTAAGTATAAATGTAACAAAAATAAAAATGTGGCTTTCAATCTATTATATTTAATAGTTGAAATACACACACTTTTATTACATAAAAACAAATGTAGCAAAAGTGGAGATAAACACAAGATGGGCAAGTGAAACTGACTTTTATGAGAACAGGGCACATCAAAATAACACAAGGCAGCTCCTACTGAAATGTTACTAAAATGGAAGTTTCTGCACCTGAAATTTGACATAGGTAATCTTTTTTACAAAAATTTTATCAAGGAAGCTAATCACAAAGAAAAAAGTTAAAGATGAAATTTGCCATTTATTTGGTGCCTTTTACACACCCAAGCTTTCACAGTCAAGACACGGCTTAATGTGAGGCTTTGGTACAAAAGCTCAGTGCTTTCAGCACCACTGAGCGCCCAGGAGACTGGCTCACCACACCAATGTTCACCACACAGCACTTACTCGAATGTGGTTCTTCCCCAGCCTTTCCCAGAGCTTGTCCGTTTTCGGATTTACAGGGACGACTACATGGTGCACAGTGTCTGGAACAGAATCTTCGCCTTTCAAATCGACCCATGTGGGAAAATGCATTATCTTCTCAGATAGTTTCTTTACATCGAAAGAATGCAACGTAGCAGAGCAAACAATCACCTAAGACAGGAGAATATGGGTGTAGATCAACTCTATAACAATCAGCATCACATTACAGTCATTTTTAAAATTTATTTCTTTTATATTTTGAGACTCACACTAATAATGAATAATATGAGAACAAAGTATAGTAACCAGAGGATCTAAAATACATCCAGTACCTGACTCCATGTACTAAAGAATAACAGTGTGACACTGGCAGGCTGTCGGCCAAGACAAATCCAATACCCCACTCCATGTAGTAACTATTAACTATGTGACACGGGCATGCCATCAGTACCCTCACTGTCAAACACAGAGCATGCTATCTCTCCCTCTAGGAAGTTTTTTGTCTTGTTTATTTTAAAAGACAGAGTTCACACGTTATTAATCATCCCGTTCTCTAAAAAGTCTCTCTTCTCAAACCACTTCCTATGGAAGGATGAAGAAAGGAAGGGCAATGTTTTCAGAAACAACCACGACAAAGATGAGTGACTTCAATAGCTGAACCTACTTCCGCGCTGCACAGGAAGCAGCACTGAGAATGTCTTAGGGTCATCAGGGGTGACTAAGAAATCACCTTTATTTCTAAAAGCAGCTTTTAAGACTATCATCTGTGTGAATGTGTACTACTCGGTAACTAGATGATAACAAAGAAAGTGTTTTATACAGTGAACTTATTCAAAACTCTTGGTTCCTCCGGCAGTGGTACCGCTGGCTACACATAGTTGGAGAGGCACTGGCCACCTGATACCTGGAGTCTTTTCCCATCAGAAGTAATCTGAGGAATCTGACTGTGCATCCTGTTAATGAAGTCAGAGTAACCTTGAGAGAGAAGCCCATCCTGCAGAAGGAAAGAGTTTCTAATCAGTATTAAAATCTGTATTAAAATACATACATATCCCTGTATTTACAAAATAATTATGATCCGTTGAATACTTAAAGACAAGTTATAAATTCAACTTTAGTTTCCTTGTGACAATATGAAAAAGGTATAATAAATAAACCCAAACCATACTCCAATATTCAAAAATTAATACGACAGTTTATAACACATGTCTTTAAGACAATGACTTTAATTTGAAAACTGAGAAAGTTTCAGTGGTGGGAAATTAACCCAACCATCTTGAGAATAATTTGGAAGAGTATTTCAAAGCTTCAAACACATTTATGTTCTTCCAGATGGTCCACATTTTGCATCTCTGATATAAATGATTTGTTGTATACGAAATAATGTATGCACAAGGAATCATTAGGAATAAAAAAGGCAAACTACCTATGTAAATAATTTGTTGTATAAAAATAATGTATGCAGAGTTATTAGGAATAAAAAAAGCAAACTATGTAACTAGTCAGATAATACATAAACATGCCATGATATATCCGTATAACAGAACATTAAATAGCCTTCAAAGAGTAATCACGAATAGTGATGTGAAAAGTTTATGATTTTTTTTTTTTTATAAATGTTTGCAAAACTCCCCAAAGTCAAATTTTAATGACCTACAGTAAGTCAGTGCCAGAACCCCTACTGGATCCCAAAATTCAGCTGCCCAAGGTCTTGGTGTAAAGTTATGTATATTCCTATGTATATTCTCCATCTACTTGAAAGCAGGCTTAGATTTCTCATACCTGTGTGCAATGTAAATAGTTGTTACACTGCATTAGTTATGCAAGATTATAAGTCTACATATGTTCAATATAAATGGGATTTTTTCTAATATTTTCTTTCAAGCTTGATTTAATATGCATATATAAAAAGCCAACTGCATGTATATCAATATGCAGTGTATGAAAATGTTTAACTATGATATTTAGATAGTAGGATCATGGCTAAATTGTATTTTTTTTTATTTTATAAATCTTATACGAAAAAGCACAAGCACATTCTAAAGAAAACATGAACATATTTCAACATACTGCTTCATCCAGAACCAAGAATCTAACTTGAGACAAGTTGAGCTTTCCCGTTGATACCAAATCATCTAATCTTCCCGGAGTACCGACGACAATATCAACCTAAAAAGCCAAAAGCAACACCCAAGGCAAACTGAAAAATTACTACGATTACTTTAAACAGCTAAGTGTCTTTTTCCACTCACAACAAAACATACAGAGTATTGACATAGTGACAGTGAACGCAAAAAAATATTTAAGGTCACTACAAATAAATAATGCTATACATACATCATCTGTGCTTCATTTAAAGTTAATATGATGACTTTGGCAACTGATTTTGGACAGCTTTAACTTTTAAACATAATCTAATACATAAAATTTGCATTTTACAAGAAGAAACATATGAATTTACATGAATTCTAAAATTCCCAAATGACAACTTCAATACCAGCTCCACCATTATCCCACTATGAGGCCATGAATGATGTCATTCAGTATCAATTTTCCCATTTTGAGCAGGGGAATATCTTTATCTTACAAGATAGTTTTGATAATTAAGAGAAGGCCCACAGAGCACTGGATGCCTTGTGTGTGCTGAGTGCTCACTGTATTTCCTTATAATAAAGAGTAACTGTGATTAGACTGGTCAGGAAATAATTATAGGGTCTGTCAAGTAGTCAGAGTGAATAGACACAATGCTAAATTTCTTCCAGGTTCCATCCCTGTGACACAATTAAAGGAGTAGATTATAGTGTGGACCCATTACTACGGTCACAGTACCACTATACCACATATACCACTAGTAAGTGCCCACACTGAGATTCAAACTGAATCTATTAAGAGGTATGTGGGGCTGGAGAGGTGGCTCAGGTTAAGAGCACTTATTGCATTCGCCGAGTACTGGGTTTGGTTTCCAGTGTCCAAAGAACAGCTCATAACCATCCCATAGCTTAGTGCCAGCAGAAAGAACACTCTCTTCTCACTTCCACAGGTGGAGACAACAGTGGAAAATGTGGGAAGGGAAACAAAGAGAGCACAGCACCTCCTTTAACAAAACAATGGAATAATACTGCCTTTCCTTTGCCACTGGCTTCAGTAGTATCCTGAGCGTGGGAATGTCCATGTGTGTGCACATGCACTGTAGGTCAGAGGCTAACATCCGCTATCTTCCCAGCCTCACATCTGACTTTTATGCTGGGGTTGGGGACCGAACTCAGATCCTCATGCTTGCATAGCAAACGCTCTACTGCAGTCTAAGCCACAAACTATGAAACATGACTGATGGAAGCAGATCTAATGCTCTCAAAATTCCACAGCTGGAAAACATAAGGCGAAAAGCCCAGTACATTATGGGAAAACTGACTTGAGTTTGAAAAACAAGGGCCATGAATGAAACTATTAAATTTAAAACCAATAAAAAACAAATAAAAATCACATAAGAACATAGCAGAGAAACACTATCCCTTTTAAAATAGCATTAGCAAGTACATTATTATGATGCCTTGTTCTTAATATACTGTCAAGCCAAATTTACAGTTCAACATCAAATTTAGTTTGGCAAGGATGGAACTGAAAGGAACCAGAGATGGTCTAGATTTCACAATTAAATATTAAGGAAAGGAAATAAAAGGGAAATCTGTAAGATATTCATTTCATAAACATAAACATAGAATTTTATAAAGTCCCAAATAATAGGGACCAGAGAATCTTGGCTTTGTCCTATACATTGGCACATCTAAGCAGTTTATAAGGCTTTCTTCATGTGTCTGATCTCAGAGGCTGTCTCGGTATTCTTCATCATTTCAAGGCTTGCAGAAACTTTGACATTTTATCTCCATAACCTACTCATCTCCATATTTATATTGGTTATACTTAGCATTGGGTTTTTTTGTTGTTGTTGTTGTTAAATAAATAATAAATACATCAGGCGGTGATGGTGCACGCCTTTGATCCCAGCACTTGGTAGGCAGAGGCAGACAGATCTCTTTGATTCGAAGCCAGGCTGGCCTATAATGTGAGTTCAAGGATAGCCAGGGCTGTTTGTTATATGGAGAAACCCTGTCTCAAAAAAAAAAAAAAAAAAAAAAAAAAA